CGCGCGCCCACCGTCTCCGTGGCGTTCGATCTCTCGCTCGAGTGCCTTCACCACGACTGACAGATGGCCCGACAACATGTATCATATGGTCCGACTAGTCAAAATCCACACACCGGAGAAGTTTCTGCCCCAAACCCTCGAACTGTCCAAGTGCACCAAACATAACTTGCAAAGGCTTGTGAGTTTCCGTTTGGAATGATTTTTCCCATGGTAACGAGTAGTATATATAGTGGTGTTTGATTGGGCTTAATTGGTCACCCGGCATCGGCATCGGCGTTGCACTAGGTCGTCACTCGTCAGAAATGGTCAGCGACGTGCATTCTCTTCCACCATCGTAACAGGACAGGTTTCCATCGTCCTGCCAAAAGGCAAGCATCCAGTATCCAATATGGCACGGCATAGATCACGACGAAGAGCATGGAAGAAAACCTTGTACGCAACCTGGCTACTTGAATGCTTAATTTGGGAATTGGGATGACGATTGGCCTGCAATCCTGCATAGACTAAGGGCTTGTTTCGTTCTAAGGGGGTGTTTGTTTCTACAGGGCATCCTAAAATTCGTGTCACGTCGAATGTTTAGACATATGCATGGAGTATTAAATATAGACTAATTACACAACTTGTGACTAATTTACGAGACGAATCTTTTAAGCCTAATTAGTCCATGATTTGACAACGTGGTGCTACAGTAAACATGTGCTAATGACAGATTAATTAGGCTTAAAAAAATCGTCTCGCAAATTAGTCTCTATCTATGTAATTGGTTTTATAATTAATCTATATTTAATGCTCTTTATTAATATCTAAACATTCGATGCGACATGAATTTTACAAATGACTAAAGAACCAAACACCCTCTAAGCCTGAGCTCCAATTGCCTGGATGGAAGCTGCCTTTGTCTACCGTTTGGTTGCAGCACTGTAACCTTGCCTGGTCCACGCAATAGTTATGGCCTGCTAATCACATGGGTTTCGTCACATCTCTTTTTTCTTTAACTAATATATGCCCGTGCGTTGCATCGTGGTCATAATTTTTTAATTGAACCTTAGTGATCAGACGCGTGAGCTCCAAAGACTTTGTATTGGACGCGGACACGTGGATCTGGTCTTTGTATCGGAACCGCGAATGTGTGAGCGCTGAGTGGAGTATGATTCATATCGGACATGGACGCGTGAGTAGGGATCAAGATTTGGTATCATTGGGTAGACGATGACTTTAGAGTCTTTTTAGGTGTTGAGATTGAGATTGAGTACACAAGTCGTAAGGATTGGACGAGACAAATGCCAAAAAAATAATTATTTCCTTTATTTTTTCATGCTCCACTCTAATTAAATATATCAAATACTAATTATTTAAATAATGTTATGAACTTATAAAAAAAACTAATACAAATAATTTATCTCGATACGCAGACTATAACTATGTACATTGATCTTATATATAGTACAAAATCACCTTACTTTGGTTAGCATTCTCAAGCACATGCATCCAACCAAACACATTATTTTTGAACTCTCATGCAGCATGCATTTTTTTTCAGGCAAGGCCCTAAATTCTGCATTTGAGGAACCTGACATAAAGTTGCATTTTTTTTTTCTTATTAGGTGTGAAGCTGTTGAGAATGTCTAATCGGCTCAAATTATGACTTTTGTGTATTAATTGGCCCTGTTTGTTAGATGGGACTAGAGACTATTGAGCCCAATTTAGTCTTAATTAGTCCATAATTTATCAAATTGGGGGACTACTAGAGGAACTGAATGCCTCTAGTCTTGTAATCCCATAAGGGGTGGCTATTTGGGACTACAAGCCCAAAAAGACAACCCATGCCCCTCAATTATTGTCCTTCCACTCATCCCAAAAACATTGAGTATGGGTATCTTGCTCATTGTCCAGCAGCTTTAATGTTTTTTAGTTCCTTGAACCAAACGGACTAGGGAAATACATTTTTTTAGGAAGCCACCTGGCGTACTTTATTGATTCGAAAATAATGTTACATCATTCAATAGGGTAGGGGTCTACAGTTTAGTCCATGCTTTTAGTCTCTGGTGTCTTGAACCAAACCAGCTCTAAATAAAGGAAAACCATCTTTCAGTTTCATTTATACATTTAAGCTCATGTAATTCCCTGCAGATAATTGGGGAGCACTGAAGCAGAGACGTGCCTTCCAAGTTCCAAAGTTATTGCTATCTTTCTATGCTGATGTTAGATTTCGGAGCGTTCAGGGAAAAAAGTAGTGTGTTGAACTGTTGAAATAAGTCCATAGTGGATCCGTTCGGCTTACCCTATAATCCGTACTATTCAGCTTATTTTTTCAGCCGGAACTAAGTTTTTTTCTCACAACAATTCAGCCAGAACAGTGTTTTTCAGCCAATTCAGCTGTTTCAGCAAGCCGAACAGGCCAGTGATGTGATCTTTTGCTAATTTTTAAAGAGGGGGTGACATAGCGAAAGCTTTTGACTAAAACTGTCGCCTTTTAGATTATTTGCCAAAATTGCACTGCCTAAAGCTCTCAACTGTTTTAGTCCGTGTGATTAAATTGTCAAAAGTCAAGTTTTCTTGACTTATAAGCTCCTTGAGACTTGACTGTACATATATATTTTTTAAACTCGGTCCCATTTGCTGTTGAAACAAATGTCTTGGGCCGGGCAAAAAAACGGGCCTTGGGCTGGGCCGATGGGTTCAGGTTGCATCGCCATATATGGGTATGGCAATGCTAAATGCAGAGCTTTTCTATGTAGTACTAGTATTATTTTTTAACAACTATTGTAAGGGAAGAAAAAAATGGAGAGCATAATAAGCTTTTTCAGTGAATCCGCCGCGTGTGGATTTTGTTGTGGTTGGGTTGCCACGGGCCCCACGGCCACGGGAAAGGCGGTTCCGCGGCGTTGGGTCGGTAACCGTCCGGAGCAGGACGCACCAACCAACCAACCATCGCACAATAACCGAGTAACTGTGAAGCTTCAGCGTTTTTTTTAGGAAATCCTACGATGTACTGTGTTGTTAGTAAAAGGAAGGAGTACTTGGGCCTGTGTCCAAGCAGGCTACCACTGATTCTTTTCTTCGTTTTATTAGTTGAGGCCTTGTTTAGTTTCGTGAAATTTAGAAATTTGGCTACGGTAACATTTTCGTTTTTATTTGATAATTAGTGTTCAATTATGGGTTAATTAGGATCAAAACGTTCGTCTCACGATTTTCCACCAAACTATGCAATTAGTTTTTTTTTCCTATCTACATTTAATACTCCATGCACGTATCGTAAGATTCGATGGGATAACTACTATAATAATTTTTAAGAAAACTTTTTGAAACTGAACAGGCCTGAGTACACTCCATTTGCATGACTGAAGTTGGTACACACACCTGGTCGTTATCGTCAGGCGTCAGCGTTGCCCTTGCGGAGGCAAATGGACAGCCGCCAGCGCCGGCCGCCTGGCCGTCTCTTCGCTCTTAGGTGTCCTCTTCATTTGTCTTATCAGCCATACTTTGTTAGTAAAGAAATAGTATTTTTCTCTTACAATAAATAAGTAAACGGTTTCAGTATAGCGCGTATTTAGTTTGAAGCCAAAATCCCAAAAAGTGCTACAGTATCTGTCACATCGAATGTTTGTGGCCCATGCATGTAGCATTAAATGTAGACGAAAAAAAAACTAATTGCACAGTTTGGTAGAAAATTGCGAGACGAACATTTTGAGCCTAATTAATCCATATTTGAACACTATTTACCAAATAAAAACAAACGTGCTACAGTAACCCCAAATTTCAACTTCCTACAACTAAACACAGCCATAGCTTTTCGGCAAAGTTTACGTCCAGGTGGACTTATGGTGCAACACGTGGTGACGTGACAGCAGGGGCCGTTAGCCCGTGGCTGGGTTCCAAACGGTGCCCGCCCAAACGTGGACCTGGAAAAATCACCGTGCAGTTGCCAGTTGGCACTGCACCACGTTCAGAGCTGGGAAAACGGAGCGTCGCCTCCATAACTCCCTGCGGTTATTAACAAGGAAAACAAACAGCGGATCGACGTGGGTGGGAAAACAAAACGCCCAGGCTCTCTTCCCTTCCAAAATCACGTCACTCCGATCGCCTCTTGCCCTCTTCCTTCTTCTCCCAGCAGGGTCTCTTTGCGAGGCTCCGCCGTCGTCGTCTTCCGCTTTCGCTTTGGGGACTCCTCCTTTCCTCTTCTTGTCGCTTTTAGCTGGGGTCTCTTCGTCAAAGGCCGCGCTTCCTTTGGAAGTTTCCATTTTGACCACTTCCTCAAGCTTACACGTCCTTGTTCAGATAAGGATTTCCACGATTCTTTCTTTTGACTGGGGCTCCTCGGCTGATCGATCGGCCCTCTCTTCTTCCCGCCTCTTGTGTTGGCCTGGCCGGCTGGACCCAGGTGTGGCGATCATCCTCCAGTTCTCTCGCCCGCGCTCCAGTAAGCTCTCTCTCTCTCTCCACCCTCGATTTGTTTCGTGCCTGCTCTTGGGGATATGCAACTCAATTTTAATCTTTGTGCTAAAACATGTGCATATATTCACAGGTGCTATGTGCTCCCTAGTCACCAGTTTAGTGCTGAGATAGATTTTTAGTCTCGATTCGATTTCACACGCAACATCTGTTCATCCCAAAAAAGGAGATAACTGAAAAGGTAGAAAGAAACAGCAAGAGAAAGGAGGGACACAGCTACATGGTAGTCTCTGGGATCTTAATAAGAAACCAGAAATATATACCAAAATCAGTTCCCAGCATTTGTTTAACTGTATATATTTTCTGTATTTCGCCGCATCAAGCAAGTAGCAATGACTAATGAGGCCAGTGCATTTTCTACATGTCGAGAAATCTCTTTCGTCAGTTTCATACTTGGAGTCCAATGGAAACGCGCTCATTTTGTGAGACATAAACATAACCGACTTTGTTTTGCATCGGCAGAAACCGAGTCCATCTCATCGCAGCAAGAAGCCACTCGATCCGTCCTCGTCTCGGCAAGAAAGACTGATCGGTGATCGGCGGTTGGGATGGAGCAGCTCCGGCAGCTCGGCGAGGCGGTGGGCGCCATCAACGCGCTGATGGCGTTCGAGCACGAGCTCCGCGTGAACCCGCGGCAGTGCCGCCTGCTGGCCGACGCGTGCGTGCACGCGCTCGCCGGCGTCACGGGGGAGGTGCGCGCGCACCTCCGCTTCGAGGAGCGCGGCGCTAAGTGGCGCGCCGTGGAGCCCGCGCTCCGCGAGCTCCACCGCGCGTTCCGCGACGCCGAGGACTACGTCCGCCACTGCCTGGACCCGCGCGGCGGGGGCAGCTGGTGGGGGCGCGCCGCGGCGGCGGCGCACGGCACCGAGTGCGTGGAGCAGCACCTGCACGGCATCCTCTGGTGCGTCGCCGTCGCAGTCGAGGCCGTCGAGGCCGCCGCGGAGATCGCCGGCGACGACGCCGACGAGATCGCTAGGAGGCGGGTTGTGCTCGCTAACAAGTACGACGGTCGGAGCATGCTGGAGCCCATGCTGTTCCAGCACACCTACGGCAAGCTGTACCTGGTGTCCCCGGAGCTCGTTGCGCGGATGGACACGGCGTGGAAGGAGGACAGGTGGCTGCTGTCGCAGCTGCTCGACGAGATGAAGTCGCCGGCGGCGCCGAAGCCACTGACGAAGAGCGAGCGCCGGCTCGCCGACGTCCTGGCCGCGCCGCTGGGAAAGCTGCACCCGGCGTCTGTCCTGCTCAACGGCGACTACAGCGTGCGGAGGCGCCTCGGCGGCAACCTGAAGGAGGCGCATTGGATGGGGGAGAGCTTCGCCGTGAAGCATTTCATCGGGGACGCCGAGGCCGAGGTCTCGATGCTCTCGTCGGTGGCGCACCCGAACGTGGCGCACGCCGCCTACTGCTTCCACGACGAGGAGAGGAAGGAGTACTTCGTGGTCATGGACCAGCTCATGGCCAAGGACCTCGGAAGCTACGTCAAGGAGATGAGCTCCCCGCGCCGGCGAATCCGTCCCCCTGGTCGTCGCTGTCGACATCATGCTGCAGATTGCGCGCGGGATGGAGTACCTGCACTCCAAGAAGATCTACCACGGCGACCTCAACCCGTCCAACGTGCTCGTCAAGCCGCGGCAGCCTGACGGGTACGTGCACGTCAAGGTCGCCGGGTTTGAGCGGCCGGCAGGCACCGTCACAAATGGCGCAAAGGCGTCTGCTAATGGCAATGCCAACGCAGCCGCCGCCGGCGGAGACGACACCTGCATCTGGTACGCGCCGGAGGTTCTCGAGCAACAGGAGAGCCACGACAGGCACACCGAGAAGGCGGACGTGTACAGCTTCGCGATGATCTGCTTCGAGCTGCTGACGGGCAAGGTCCCGTTCGAGGACAACCACCTGCAGGGCGACAAGACGAGCAAGAACATCCGCGCCGGCGAGCGGCCGCTGTTCCCGTTCCAGGCGCCCAAGTACCTGGTCGCCCTGACCAAGCGGTGCTGGCACGCTGACCCGGCGCAGCGCCCGCCGTTCGCCTCCGTCTGCCGCGTCCTCAGGTACGTGAAGCGGTTCCTGGTCATGAACCCGGAGCAGCAGCAGGGCCAGCAGCCCGACGCGCCGGCAGCCGCGCCGGCCGCTGACTACCTAGACATCGAGGCGCAGCTGCTGAGGCGGATCCCGGCGTGGCAGCGAGGCCAGGGCGCGCCCCCGCGCGTGGCGGACGTGCCGTTCCAGATGTTCGCGTACAGGGCCGTGGAGAGGGAGAAGACCGCCGGCGCGCACGCCAGAAGGGACAGGGCCACGGATTCCGGCAGCGAGGAGAACTCGCTGTGCAGCGACGAGAACGGGGTCGGGGCGACCACGCCAGACGACGACGCGTCCACCGTGTCGGGCGGTACCGTGAGGTCGCGCCCGGACAGCAGCGACGGCAAGAAGACTCCTCCGGTCAGGAAGGCGGACGGCAAGGCGCCGCCCAGACAAGGAGGTGCGTTGCATTCTGTCGCCACATTTTCTAAAGAAAACTTGATCGTATCCAATTATCAACGTGGTACTTTGAATTCTCTGCAGGGTTTCAGCAGAAGGTGAAATCGGCGAGCGCGGTGAAGCCTCCGCCGGCGACAAGGAAAACGCTGGGCGTGAAGCCGGAGCTTCCGGCGCGGCGGCCGACGTCCGGGCATGCCTCGGACTAGGAGGCTACTGCGCCTGAAGCTGGTGGACTGGTGGACTGCTGGAAACCGCCGCCAGGAGCTGTCATGTTTGCGCGAGCGTGGAATGGTGTGCGTTCCAGCAGCTCGCTTTTGGTGAACAAGCTTTTTGCATTGGTTGATTTGTTCCATAGGTTCTTGGTTAGAGTCTTTGGTCTTGCATTTGCAATTTGCATAGATCCTTTCGCCTGCAAGTTTGATTGTGGCACCTGGATTGTTCTGGCACATTTATATTTTCTCTCTTCCGTGATCTAATGATGTGCCTGAGTGTTCAGAAAGAGAAACATTTTAGGCCTTGCCATGGTTGATTGATTTTGGATCCGATTGATTTTGCATGAGTTTTTATTCATATGTTGGACCAATTCAAAATGATTAATCACAAAATGAAAAGGTACAAGAGAAGAAAATTCGAATGTCTGCATATTTTCCCAAAGAAAATTGCAACAGCACATGTAAAATCTGAATGAAACCCAACGACAAAATCAATATTTTTTTAAAAGCAAGAATAGACTATATTCTGAACTCTATAAGAGTTTCGCACACAACAATCTTTATTATACGGAAAATCTAGTTTCCGAGCGCGCACGCGCTGCACCCCGATGGCCGTCCGATTCTCCCCAACGGTCGTCCGATTCGCTCCTGCCTACCACGCAGACGCTCTCTTCTCCCTCGCTTGCGCCCGGGCCCACGCCCGCGTGCGCCGCACCAACTCACCGGAGAAGAAGCACTGCACCAACTCGTCGTCCGATGCGCCAGAGAAGAAGCGCCGCCGCCGAAGAAAAAGGGACCGCCCGCGCCCCACCATGTGCCCGACCGCGCCCGTGCCGGCGAAGAAGAGGGCGGCACCTAGGGTTCTAGCGAGTCACGCTGCCCCTTCTTCTCCAACTCTGGCGGGTATAGAAGGGGCCGGGGGGAGGTAGGCGGGCCAGGCGGTGGGGATGGCCATGGCGGTTTTGGGGAAATTTGGCGGCGTGGCAGGCACCGAACCAGTTTGGGCGTGGTGCCAAGGACCTGGAGTTCTTGAGAGTTCGCCATGGCCGCATCACGGGAGCGGGCGGGAGGGAAGGAGGAGGTCGCTGCCGGCGGTAGGGTCTTGCTGGAGTGGTGGGAGGTGGTGGAGTCAAGGGTAGTCGTGCCGGATCTAGAGTTGGAGACACTCGCACAGCCGCGGAGGAGGTGGAGGAGGAGGAGGCAGTGCACTGGCGATGAAGAAGAAGAAGGTGAGAAAGAAAAGAAGGTGCACGTGCGGGGGATTTATCCCCACCTACACATGTGCAGGGTAGTATTACCCTTATATTATTAAATAGTTGCAGACACCTAAATAAACACGGATTTGGAAACAAAAGAAACAACTCAAAGGGCAAGTTAAGCACCATACTTTTTATTAAAAAACATCCATACATGCTTGGTGAAGATCTCCTTAACAATTGTTTCCATTGGACGACAAAAGCCTAATTCACCGTCGCATGAACGCTCTCCTTTTGTAATTGGAACAAATAACAAGTCTATGAATATAAGAATATATTCTTTCCTTATCAAAAACAGTATTGAAAGCATCTAGGTCCCTAATTGGATTTTGGTGATTAATGACAATACAAGATTACTATGACTAACGTGTGTTTTGCAGAGACAATTAAGTTAGGTCATGGTAATGGCAATTGATTGGGCAATCATGGTTGTTATGCCCCTACGATGGAAATCGTTTCGGTTTTCAAAGGATGGACGACAAGGTTAAGGACGGACTAGTTCTAAGTGTCGTTTGGTGTTGAAGAGACATTTAGAGTAGTTTAGGACTTTGTTTTTTCCTTTGGCCATACTATTAAGGGGGGTATGGACTAGTAGCTTGACCTAGGTAAGTCTAGTAGGTTAGGTGTGGTGCACACTTGTCAAATCTAGCACTAGGTAGCTCCGAAGTAGCCCTAAGATCAATTGGAGCAAACTTCATTCACATATGTTGTCGAGTTAGAAGTGAATGGAGGGTCAAATGTTGACCGGACGTTGGCCTGGTTTTGACCGGACGCTGGCAGTATAGTCTGGTCAGTTCATTTGATCAAGCTGAAGTCGTCTGGTTGCGACCGGACGCTGAGTGAATAGTGACCAGACGCTGGGTGCCAGAGTCCGATCAACTCCAGTAAGGTTCCAGAGAGGGAGAATCCTGATCGGACGTGTCCGATCAGTGCTGACCGGACACTGGTTAGGTTCTGGTTACTGACCAGACGCTGAACAGCGAAGTGACCGGACTCTGGGCTCCAGCGTCCGGTCAGCATCAGTAAGGGTCCAGAGAGCAGTTTTTATGACCGGACGCGTCCGGTCATTGATGACCGGACGTAAGTCAGAGTCTGGTCACAACTTAACGGCTCTGTGGCGGGGAGAACTGACCGGAGCGTCCGGTCACCTTGTGTCGGTGCAGAAAGTGACCAACAAGTAAATATTTGTAGTTTTGCCGTACGTTGTGATCAGAGGTGGCCTAGCACTCAATGACACATGGTTTATACTGGTTCAGGCAACGTGCCCTACGTCCAGTTTGAGTCGGTCGGTGACTTTATTCCTGAGCCTAGGTGCTCGGAGTTTGCAGTGGGGTTACAAACGAGAAGGAAAAAGATAAGGGGTACAAGAGGTCTGGTCGGAAGGGCCAAGAGTGATGGGAGCCCCGCTATGAGCTAAGTGTTCAAGCGTGTGCTTGAAGTTCGAACCTAGCGGCTCTATGGTTGTGAGCTAGTGAACTAGATCGATCTGATGAATCTGGAATGACTTGGATGAACTTGAATGAATCTTGACTCTGAATGTTGGGAGAGAGCACATCCCGTTTTATAGATAAAGGGGATGGCCTTACAAGTGAGAGGGAGAGAGTACATATGCTTCTAATCCTTGTTGCCCACACCGGCGGGTACAGGATGATGGTAGGCGCCCACAACACTGTTGAATATCAGATGCATGTGGGAGGTTTGTGTTGTCTTCTTTGGGTATGGCAGACGTCGGCGCCTGCCACACTATTGAGACCTGGAGGCATGCAAAAGGGTTTTTACCATGTTCGATCGGTACGCTAAAAGCCGGCGCCCACAACACTGTCGATGCCTAGAGGCAAGTGGGGGGGGCTCACCGTATAGGAGTTAATGGCGCCCACAATACTGTAGGGGAAAATGTCGGTGCCTACAACACTGTTTGGGTCACTGTTGTGCCAGGGAGGTTGCAGAGTACTATTTCTATAGGTGTACAGGGTATGGTCCCCAGTATTGTGGTTTGACTTGTGCACTCTGCCTTACTTTCTCCGTCCTTTTCCTAGTCCTTACTAAGCGGGCGTCCCCGGTCGGTGGGTTCCAGTCGGCTCTGATCGCGCCAGTCAGAGAAGAGCAGTGAGCAGGGGTTTTGCGCACCCCCGGTCGGAGACGCGAGCCAGAGTCGAAAGTGGTGTTTGCCCAAGCCTTTTGGTCAGAGAGGCCATCCGAAGGCGGGCTAGAGACCGAAGCGAGTGCTCTGGTCGGAGAGGCAGGCTGGAATCAGAAGCGGGCGTCGTTCCTCCTCAGCCAGGCCTTCCGGTTGGTGATTAGATTGTCCTTCTGGCCTATCATTCAGGCACTTGGGCCGGCCCATGAGTTGCACGTTTGTTTGCAATGTTGTCTGCTGGGCTAAACCTTTGTAGGGAATTCGGTCCACGAGGGACCCTGGGTTTATGAACCCGACACCTTGATCGGAGCGTCCGGTCAACCCGCAAAACGCTGACGCCACCTCCTAACGGTTCATTTTGAATGAGGGGGTATAAATACTTCCTCTATTCATCCAAGGGAGGTCTCTTGGCCATTTGATTAGCTGAGAAACACCCTTGAGAGTGCTTTGGAGAGCAAGAGCCTAGTGAGGTGATTGAGATTTGAAAATCTAAGATTAAGGCCTCATTAGTGCAAGGAGAGTAGCAAGTGTGCATCCACCCTTCTCATTAAGCTTGTTGTGGTAAAGTGAGAGTTTGTGCTTGTTACTCTTGGTGATCGCCATCACCTGGACGGCTTGGTGGTGATTGGAAGTTTGGTGATCATCCGGCGAAGCTTGTGGATGACCCAACTCAAGTTGTGAGCGGTTGTGGGTGATTCACCGCGACGGAGTGTCGAAGAATCAACCCATAGAGAGCACTTGATCCTTGCGTGGATCAATGGGGAGCTACACCCTTGTGTGGGTGCTCCAACGAGGACTAGTGGGGAGTGGCAACTCTCCGATACCTCGACAAAACATCACCGCGTTCCTTCTCCTCTCTTTACTTTGAGCATTTACTTTTGAGCAATTCAATTCTTGTTTTTACATTCTTAGAATTGCCATGCTAGAGTAGGATTGGAACTTAGGGTGCTAAACTTTTGTGCGGTAGATCATTAGAATCACATTCTAGGCACAAGGGGTGAAGTAGGCTAGGTGTAGGGTTTAATTATTGCAAAGAATTTTAGAATTAGCCCAATTTACTATCTTAGGCATCTTGATCCTTTCAATTGGTATCAAATCCTCATGCTCACGTATCAAATCCTCCTACTATCTTTGAGGGAGATGATTTTTCTTATTGGAAAATCTGCATGGAGGCGTATTTAGAAGCTCTAGATTTTGGAATTCTTAGATCCGCTTCTCAAGGTTTCCCAAAACCTAGGGATCCCACACACCTTCAAGGTGATGAAGTGAATTACAAAAAATGGAATGCAAAGGCTAGAAACACCATATTTAGAGGCCTTTGCAAAGATGTGTTTAACCGTGTGAGGAACTACAAGGACACCCGTGCACTATGGTCGGACATTTGTGCGCTCCATGAGGGAACAAAGAGCGAGCATAAGGAACGCTATCATCTTGTGATGAAAAAGCTTAATTCCTTTGAGGTGCTTCCGAAAGAAAGCACTAATGAAATGTACTTACGTTTGAATGTTCTTATAGAGGAAGTCAATGGGCTTGGACTCACACAAATGCAACCATCCGATGTTGTAAGAAAGATCTTGAGTGTCCTCCCCACTGATAAATAT